TATGGATCGCATCAGATTAGCAAACTACTTCGCATTCCGCCAGCGTTGGCGCCTCCGAGGCCACGTGCTGCGCCTGGGTCGCGACGTTCCGGCCAACGTGGCTGCGGACTGCTTCTTTGCCCCATCCAAGGTGCCGTTTCTTAGGGCGCACCAAGATCACGCTACCGATCGTCCTGCAACGCGACCTCCAGTCGCTGACGCCACCTCAATCGCTGGCAACTCCCGAGGACCTGGACAAACTGCGTAGCTTTGCCGCCGACCGCGACGCCTGGACAGATTTTACCGACCGTGTCGTTCCGTGCCTCACCCGCGGCCACAAGCGTCGTAGGGTACCGACAGAAGAGCCACGGCCCGGCGAGCGAATGAAGAAGAAGGAGATTGCTAGTCTCTACGTATGCGAAGTCTTTGTGGAATTATGATGATGATATGGATTGAAATCTTTATACAGACTAAAGACTCCACCTACTAAGACTTACGTACTAGTTGTGTGTTGAACGTCGGCGGCCAGAAGCTCTTCAACGTGCAGGAGTTCCTCGGCCGGCAGTACATCGTGCCGTCCGTCGTCGGGATGCGCGTACGAGGTGCAGTCGTCGGGTGCGAGCTTGGACAAATGATCCGTGGCTTGGTTGAACTCGCGAGGGTGGTGTTCCCATGTGCACGTAAAACATGCCGCGAGCTCCCGCGCCTGGACATGCAGCTTCTGCAAACGGGCCTCTTGGACCCGGTAGATGCCCTTCATCTGCTGCATCAGCAGCATGCTGTCGCCGCGCACCGTGAGATGCGTCACTGCCAGTCGCTGAGCTAGCTGGAGCGCCGTGATCAGACCGTCGTACTCGGCCTCGTTGTTCGTTGTCGCGGCATCAAGGTAGTTGGCTTGGTACACCACGTTCTGGGGCGACTCGATCAAAAAGACGAGCGAGCCACTACCGCCACAATGCGGGTCTTTCCGAGCCGCGCCATCAAAGTACGCGACCCCCGCAAGCGAGGTCATGTGGCACACCGGGTCGAGAACAGCGTGCTTGCCGTGTTGCTGCACGAGCGACTCGAAGACACGAGCTCGGAGTGCGTGGTGGCGTCGAGTGTGGTACTGGCGTTGCGCCTCGCAATAGTCCAAAGTAACGTACCGAACGTGCGTGTGTGGAATTATGAAGATATATATCAATTTATCAAGCGAAAATGCACGAACGTACCCAATTTTCAATGTATGGAAATAGGATAGCCATGACACAATGTACTGCTTTTGTGTTTTAATCAACAGCATCTTTGCCACTGTGCACAACCACTACGTACTTCGACGAGAATCGTGTGCCACCAGTTGCATCGATATTCGGATATATATATATATAAAGGACTATAAAAGGACATGTCGCTAATACAACGAACGTGTCATGTCGCGACACACACGTAGTATTCGGGTTGCGCAAGGACCCAGTCGGGGTGCGTTCGTGGCTTCCTCGACTCGTCATCGAGATCGGTGTCGACGCCATAGGTAAAGTACGTATGGTCGACAATATTTTCCAAAACGATGCCCTTGGTCTTCAGGAGCACGCTCATAGGGACGTACGCAATGTCTTCGGGTCGAAAGAGCGCTGCGGGCGTCCAAAAGTGCGTCCCAATTAGTGTTCGAAACGGGCTTTTGCGGTCAATCGACTGCTTGCGCATGCCGATGCGGTAGAGACACCAGTCGACAAGGCGCATGTAGGGCAAGGTGACGCGGCTGCGCATGGTGACGCACACCGCGAGCCAAAAGAGAATCAAAAAGAGCTGGCTGTGCATCCATGTCAGCCAGCTCCATTGCGCACGGAGTCGCCAGAGCTCGCCAATCACGTACGCCCAGAGCGCGAGCGGCAAGAGGCTCAGCATGATGACAGCGGTCGCATACCCCTTCAAGTTGGAGCCAATCCCGGGCATGAGGTCCATGTACACCAGCGCGAAAAAGACCCACGCGTACGAGAGAAGGCGAATCCACTCGCTAAAGTTGCGAAAGTGACCCGTCGGATCGTTGCTGCAGCCGTAGATCGGGTCGATGCGAACATCGCTCGACGAATTCCAGTTGCAGTGGCAGTCGCTCGCACCGACGTGCCATGCGACAAGCCCCAGAAAGCCCGTGATGCGCATCGAATTGCGGTGGATCATCCAGACAACGCTGCTCACATTGCACTTGGCCATCGAGAAGCGCAGCTGCATCTTGTGTTCCGTGGGCGGAAGACGCCGGATCCACGCATCGGTTTTCACCAGATACAGAACGATCCAAAGCAAATAAAAGATGTAGCCGAGGAGCGAGATGAGCGCAATGAAGTTGAGCATGATGGCTTCGCTGCCATTGGACGACGTGACGACCAATGAGACTTCGGTGCCCCGGGACACCATATCGATAAAGTTGGATGGGAAAGAGTCGCCATTCGGAATACGCCCGCCAACGATACACGCCAAGATCGCCATCGGGGACGCGGCCGTTGACGCAACGCGCGTCGATCGGATGCCGGCGCTGTTGATATAGGTCACTCGAACATGCGACGTGCCAGTGCCGAGGCCGAGGCACGCCAGGTCGACGTACAACTCGTTCAGCGACACGGTAACGGTGTCGATCGTCGTGACGCACTCGCCGCCACGTCGGTAGGTGTACGTGGTCCCGCCGCTCGCCGTCTCGTTCAGACACGCAGCAAAGCATCCGTCACCGACAAAACAGAGTTCTTCGATCGCATCGCTCGTGTCGACTGGTTTCTGCGCGACGGTCGCAATCACCTCCGGTATCAACGCCGCCCACGTCGTGCGGTTGCCCAGTGTTGCCAAGTGAACAGACGTCAGCGGCTGCACGTCGTGGTGCTTGTAGTGGTACGACTGCAAATTGCCAATCGTTGTGCTGGGAACAACGTCGGCGTTGTCGATATACCGTGAGCCCGAGTTCAGTGCAATGTACTTGCCGACAAAGAACGCCGGCAAAGAGACAGCCATGCGCTCGAAACACTGCGTTCGGTTCGGAGCGTTCGTCGCGGGGTCCACGTACTGGATCGAGCACCACCACGCCGTCTCGCGCGGTGCAAAGATCGAGTTGATGTAGCCGCTGCCGCCGAGCGCCGTGGCGAAGAGGTCGCGGCCGCTGATCTCGTAGGTGGCGGCGCCCGAGCTCTGCCCCGAGATGTCGATAAAGCCGTCGAGAAACGTCGTTGGCGCAAACAGTTGCTTGGTGCCCGCGATATTCGCCAAGCTCAAGTTGTACGTCGATGCCAATTCCTTGGCGAGTGCGACGACACCGGCCGCCGGTGTCGCCGCCGATGCGATCAGCGTCGCCCGGCGCGCCAAGCACGACGTCAGATGCGGAAACAACTGCGTGCGCCACATGGCCATGGCGGCGGCGTCGCTCGGGGATGTGAGCGGGTTGAGCGACGACTTGTACTGGACGTTCACAAACGTCTCGAGCGACATGCCTTTGAGGCACAGCACGGCCTCGGCCACGTCCTGGAGACTCCCAAATGCGGTGGTGGGCGGAACGTAGCTGTAGATGCGCTCGGCGCCCCAGAGGTTGAAGCCGCTCGTGGTGAACGCGGGCAGTGCGGCGTTGAACGCGGCGACTTCGGCGGCACCGTCGAGCGACCGACGCAGCGGTCGTCCGTCCAAGTCCATCTGGTACACGGTCTCGGTGCCAGCGTACGATCCTGCCCACGTCGCAATCGAGCGCGGAAGAATCTTGAAGTCCGTAAAGACATTGAGGTAGCGCGTCGCAGTGAGGGGCTTCGATAGTGGAATGCCGGCGTTGGTGTAGAGTTGCGTGAGGAACTTGCCGTTGAGCACCGTGTCCCAGTTGAGATTCACGATCGTCGTTGTCGTTGTCGGCACAAAGCCGTAGCGCGAGAGGAACCACGCTTTGAGCGGCGCGGCGGCGTTCCAGAGGCAGCCAATGACAAAGCAAAACCTAGCAAAGTGCTGCCATTTGGTAAGGCGGGCGAGCGTTGGGATCGCGATCGCCGGAGGCTCCGTGGCGGGTTGGACGACGGGAGGTTTGCTCGTGCTAAAGCGCGACGAGCGAACCACATACGTCGTACCCGCAGGCATGGCGCTAGCTGGACTTGACAAATGTGTCGAACTGACGGGTGCCGGTCTGTCTAATTGGCGCCGAGCCGTTCGTGAAAATGGCGCTGTGGAGACGGCCGTTGGAGAGTTTATTGAACGTGATTCGCTGCTGATAATAGACTCGAAGGAGGATCCTAGTATGTCTCTTGAAGCACCCGTGGATTGTACCCAAGGGAATAAAACAGTGTTTTGGTCATACCGGTGCGTGTTTCCCTGGTTGCCACCTAACTCCAGTACTACATGCAAAAAGGCGTGGCGGTAGAGCAAGCGACAGTGAATAGCTATTCTGGACATCGAATTATGCTGTAATCATTTGGTCGATGGCCTTGTGAACGCAACATTCGAGCTGCTTTCGCCGATGAGTGCATGGCATATGCCACGAATAGTCCGTTTTAATATGTATATCTGGTTATAAGTGGCATATGCCATATTGAACAATATGGTCGATTTCTCGTGCTGTACTGCTCGTCTGACAATGCGACATTGCGCAACGTGCTCTCCAAAGTGTCTTTTATCTCTGTGCCAAGTTATAGCGATTTCGTTTCAAACTTGATTGGGGCCTCAAAAGCGGTCGGTCCATCGAGCAGCGCCTGCTGTGGAGAAGCATCACCTGTGATTGGCCAAAAACAAAATATTTCAGCCAATCAAACATGCCTACTGGGCGGCCCACAATTCTGACTGCGTTCGAGCAGCAATGTGATGCAACTAGCTGTGTGCTTCGGCGCGCACCGTAAAAAAGACAACTATCCTCAGGTCGGCCTTTTCGCCCATCGTTTGATCACGTAACACGATGCTACACAGCGAGCAAAACCGCTCTTGTGGACTTTCGATCGACGCATGTGACGCGACAACCCTACGTCGCGAGTACGAGATTGTGCTCTACGTTCAAACCCCATATGTGCTACTCTTAGCTCGACAATTATAAGAAATAAACTGCTAACATTCCTAGACTAGTCGATTCGCAAAAAACTCTCGCGCAAGTGGGCTTCAGGGTTGTGGTTGTACGCCACAAACTGCTTTGGGAGAGTGTGGAGCTCGAGCTGTTTTTTCGCCGCCGCTCGGAGCAGCAACCCGCTGCTCGTTCGGGGCAGCGACGCCGGTGCGACCAAGATCGCTTTGATGTGTGCGACGCCGTGGTCGGCTGTGAGATGTCGAAAGATGGCTTTCGAAATCGCCCCCAGCGTCACCTTGTCGTCGGCTGACGTCCAAACGTCGTCGAGTTCAGCCACGACGACGATCGTATCGGCAAACCCAAAGGCAAAGACACCGTCGCACGAGATGTGCGCCGACGCGGCTTCGACGCTGCGCGCGATCGCTGGGAGACTGAGGCGGCGGCCATCGACGACCGCAATCTCATCGCGCCGGGCGTAAACAAAGAGCTCGCCGTTGTGCACAAAGCCCGTATCCGATGTCCGGTAGTAGTGTTGATCGTCGGCCGCCAAGGTCGCCTGGAACTGATGCCGCGTGCGGTCCCACTGCTGCCAGTAGCCGTCGCCGACGCCGTCACTGCGGACCCAGATTTCGCCGACGTACCCTTCAGGCAACGCTTTTCGCGCCAACGTGTCGACGATACGCAGCTCGACACCGGGAAATGGGCGTCCGCAGGCCATGAGCAGTTGTGTGCCAGAGCCCGACGTTCGGCGCGGGTCATCTGTGCGCAACAACTGGACTCGGCCATTCGTTTCCAGGACGTGCTTGTCGACGAGAAGGCTGCGAGGTGCGCTTCGGTCGTCCGCGTCATAGCCGCAGACCAGCGTCGTTGTCTCGGCAGTCCCATATGCACCTAGATCCCATGCATACATGAGCAACGGGCAGGAGGCCAAGATCACGTACAGTGCAGCTGGTGCGGTCGAAAGCCACCAACGGCAAAGCGCTTGGCGAATTGCTTGAGGCAGTCGCCGCGAATCGCACCGCCCAAAACGATCGCGTGCTGCAGTGCGCTGAGATCGATGCCAGCAGCGACGGCATCCGGCGTCTTGGTGGCGGCCACGCGGTACGCAGCGTTGGGCGCGCACGTCATGGATGCCTTGTACTTGGAACAGAGCGCCATCCAAAGCGACGGCGTCTTGAAGAACCCAGTTGGCGGCATCTGCACCGAGCGAACACCGGCGTACACTGGTGCGAGGTTGAAGCCGACGAGGCCGTTGCTGTCAACTTGAGGCAGCCACGAGAAGACCGTGTCGCCGTCCTGCACGGTCGCCCATCGCATCGCTTGCGCGAGAAGGTTGCCATGCGTCACAACGACGAGCTTGGGATCGCCCGTGACCCCCGATGTGCACTGGAGATAGGCAACGTCGCGGTCCGAAACACTTGCATAGTAGGTGCTGTGAAAGGTCGGTTTGGAGAAAATCGACTTGGTCGTGTCGGTGCAGATCCAGTGCACATGTTTCGGCCACTCGACACCACGCCGGGTGCGCAGTCGCGCCGAGAGCGTGTCGCGTTGACTCTGCCGCCGGTACAACGCGTTGGTCAAGACGAGCGACGCGCCAGATTCGTCGACCATGCGCCGGAATTGCACCAGGTCCCGCGACAAGAAAAGCGGGTCGGGCGGGGGCACGGCGCAGGCGACCGCACCGGCGTAGAGACACCCCCAGAACGCCAAGGTAAAGTCGGCACCGGGCGGGAAGCAGAGCAGGACACGGTCGCCAGGTGTGAACGGCGACGTCTTGGACTGGTGTTGGAGGACACTGGCGATGCGACGGGCCTCGGCGTCGACGTTGGCGTACGTGAGCGACCGGACTTCGCTGCCGTCGTCGTCGACAAAGAGGTAGCAGACGCGATCGGGTGTTTGGATAGCGCGTCGACGGAGGTGCGCGAGCAGCGTCACGTCGGTCGTCGACGAACGACCGTGGCGAGGCAGCGCCATCGTTTCGTGGATTGAGGTCGTATCAATGACCTTCAAGGGTGCGTCGCGCACCGGCGAGCCAAGTGCGACGGCCTGGCACTCGGGGCTCAGCGGCGCGGTCCCGCCGGTGTGGGAAGACATCGAAACAATGGCAGTTGCCGGCGCTGCGCACCGAGTCGTCGGCAGCGGCTGGCGCCGGTGGCCCGACGGCGCGACCGGCCGCGGCAAACTCGATGCCGGCGACGTGATCATATCGTGGTCTGGCCGCCAAGTGCAATCTCAGGAAATGGTCGTGACGATCGCAGTTGTCGCGGTTGCGTGCGGCCGCGACAGCTGCCACCGTGTGTAGCACGATGACACAAGCGCGTCACGCATCCGTAACCTTGATGCGCACGATATTTTAATACAATTGATGTATCTAAACAGTAGGTTTGTATCTAGATCAAGGATTTAGTATTCTATTACGTTGCGAGGAAAATAAAATTGAAATTCGCCCGATGAGTTGTTGGCGCCGGTTGGCGCGGTGGACGCACGCAATTGCATTGGTGAGCGAGCGGTAGAGTCAAAGGAACTAGACTGTTAACTTTGTACTAGTAGAGCTCTATCCGAGTTGGCTCCTTCGATAGCCCTCCTCCCATGAGCCCTCCTCCCATGATTGCGATGCCGGCTTATGATGCAGTCGGGTGTCTGGTCCTGATCGACGATCGCCTGCATTTCAGATATTTGGTGCAAACTGCTTGGTGGTTTATACTGATGAACCGTTGCTCTGGTCAAAGCGCCTCTCCTTGCCACCGCCATCTGACCCATTCTTCCCAGCCGAGCGATCGCTAGCTCCACCACGTCCTCGTGGTCGCTTGTTTATGCATGCCATCACAAAGCCTGCGAGAGTGCTCCGAGCTCGCGCACTTAAAGCTCACGTTTCCCTTCCCCTTGGTCTCTGCACCTCCAACAACAACGTTATGGCGCGCGTCAGCGGCCACCGACACTTTACGCCAGTCAGGATGCCGACGCTGTCCTTGGCGTTTGCTCGATGCAATTCGTTTTCTGCTCATTTCATCGCGACGTTGGTGGTCTGCTACCTCTAAATCCTGCTTCATCTTGGTCTTTTCACACACAAAAGACTTTTTACACAGACTTTTCACACTCGCAACTCTTAAACACCGAGCCGCAGCTCGTGCTCAAAACTACCCAAGTCGTCGTCGATCTGATCGGCGTCCCAATCACTGTAGTCGTCGTCGTCTGGTTGCCGCAAGAGGACACCGAAGCGCATAATATCGTCGTCGGCGCCAACGACGCCCGTCACTTCCTGGAGGTAGCTCGCCTTGTCGTGCCGCATTGCGACCTTGGCCTCGGCGATCGCCCGGCGAACGCGGTCGTACTGCGGTGCATCGAGCTGGCCGAGGAGTCGGACCACGTCTTTGTGGCCTTTGGTCGCGGCCCAGAGCACCGCCTTGTACGTAAACCCTTCGGTTCGATGGCGCGTTAGAAAATCAACGACGTCGAGGTGGCCCGACGACGCTGCCCAGTCGACCGCGCGCGTCGTGCAGCCTTCGCTCCGGTGCCGGTGTAGGTACTCAACCATGGTGGCATGGCCGCGGTGGGCCGCTCGGTCCATACCGTGGGCGGTGCCGCCTTCACGCCGGTGCCGATGGAGATACTGCACGACGTCCAAATGGTTGTTAAACGCGGCGCCGTCGAGCGCAGCCGTCGAGCAGCCTTCGTGCCGGTGCGTATGCAGAAACTGAACAATCCGCAAATGGCCGTGGCGCGCAGCGCTGTCCATGGCCGCGACGCTGCATCCGTCACTGCGCTTCATATGCAAAAAGGTCACAATGTCGGCGTGGCCACAGGCGGCGGCAACGTCCATGGCCGCCGGCGAGAACGGGAGCCCGAGACGGTGCAGTGTCTCTACGGCGTCCAGCTTGCCCGAGCGCACGGCCACGTCGATTATGTGCGGCGAGTGCCCTTCGGTCCGATGCGCTTGAAGAAACGCGAGAACGTCGCCGTGGCCCTGCAGCAAGGATGCGTCGAAAGCGTCGCTCGTGCAGCCTTCGCTTCGGTGCGCGTGCAGCCAGGAAACGACGTCGAGGTGCCCGGCCACCGCTGCCTTGTCCATGGCCGCCGCCGTACAATGTGCGCTTCCGGCGGCGTGCAGCACTTGCAAGACGTCAAGGTAGCCTTCGCCCGCAACGTAATCCAAGAGCGCGTCGTATGTGGCGGGCGCATACGCGAGCTTGGCGAGGTCGACGCCGAGGTCCGAGCCGGTGAACGCCAACAGCGTAGCGTGGCCGCCAATGGCCGCGACGAGCGCGAGCGCAATCGGCGACGAGACGTACGACGCGAGGTCGTCGACCCAGCAGTTGCGCAGCGCAATGTCGTCGAGCGACTCCGTCGGGATCTCCTCCAGCGGCTCTCGCCACGGGTCGAAGCGGTCGTAGGCGTCGACAAACGGGTACACGCGACGTACCGGACCGTACAGACGCTCGTAGCGCGACCGCATGGCCTTGGAGCGGATCATCGCATGCACGCCGACGTGGCGCATGCCAAACGCGTTGGGCAGAGACGCGAGGTCGCCGGGCCACTCGCGGGCGTAGGCCTCGGCGATGACGGCGCGCTCGGCGGTCGGGCTGTCGAGGATGAGGCGGCCGTTGAGGTACTGCGTGAGCGGGCCCGCGTACGCGAGGATGTCGTCCTGGAAGGTCGAGTCGACAGAGTCCCACAAACCAACACTCATCGCTCGGTGTGGCTTGCCTGTCTGCCAGTTCCGACCGGAACAGAATTTGAATTCGAATACTCCGAGATTCTGTTTCAGCTCGAAACAGGATATGAAACACTGGCTCGTGCACTGGCTCGAAACACACAAGAGAGACGTGCCCCGGGAAGGCCCGATGCTGCCCGCTGGGCTAGTAGAAACGCTGGATTCCAAGCCGATGTATGTTGCGAGCTCTCGCTACGGGTGCAGCTCGACAGCGTCTACCGCCGTGGCCACAGGATCTCGTTTGGCCTCTGGCATCTCATACTCTGTATGTTTTAATACTGCTCTGGTATTAAATCGCAAAGGTTTATTGGCTGAATATTACATGTGCGGGCCAATCAAACGCGCGCTACGGAAAACATTCCGCCAATCCAGTGGCGGCATGCGGATCCAGCACAAAACTGCTGAACGGCAAGGACATCCTGGCAGCAACAGCAGGCGGCATGCATAGTTGTCTCGTGGCATGGAGCTCGTCGAGGTAGAAGAAACTGAGAAAAAACTAAGTACTAGTACGCTCGTTCAAAGTACCGAGCAATCGAGTGACCACAACTACAGTAGGTGTATTTGATTCCTTGCAGAGAATAGGCAGTCTCACCATTGAGTGCGCCACGACGATCTCTTGTTCTCGTCAGCGTGTACATAGCTTCCTAAGCGGCTAAATAATATTGCAAGGCATTATAAAGGTTTACTACGTAGTACATATTGCACGAGCTACGGAAGAGCGAATTTCGATGTCGACAGTTGCCACTGGTTTGTCAGCGGTTGTAACATTTGTCTAGTGGTTGTGAAGCGACGATCCAACTGAAGGAGTGGGGCTCCTTACGCAACAAAAAAGCTGTGAAAAGACGGACCATTTTTAGTTGACGTCCGTACTCTTGCACTTGGTCGCGAATTTGGTGGCGATGGCGATCGTATACACGAGCAGTAAACATCGCACCGACATCCTCCGACGAGGGTTGTCGGAGGTCGTTGTTGTCCCAATTCACAACCGCACTCGCGAAAAGTCGCATGTCTCAATTCGCATTTCAAGTACACTTGCACCACTCCTACTATTATTAAAATGCTTGTAAGCGTGCCACGCGGAACGCATGGACTTGGATAAGGGAACGAATGGAATTGCAGCATTGACCGTCCTTCGTCACTACGATCAAGAGGCTGGACAACCAGTGATCGACGTCTGTACATGCTGCCACTTTGCCATTCGCTGCCCAACACCAATGAGTCCACACAC